TTTGGATCCTCACTTGCCGTCATTTTGTACAGACCTCCCAAATTTGACGGTGGTGATTTTCAGCCTGTTCGTGTTGCCTTTGAATGAGTTGCATGTTAGGTGGCTGCCACAGGCAGGAATGCCGGCTTAAAAGTGGGCGTACTGATCGAAAATGGTACGTGTTCCTTGCTGGAAATAAAGTACCTGATAGTGAAAATCTTCGTAGGTGAAGATATCTCATTTTTTTCGAGTAGATCGCTGCTAAATAACAATTGACTGTTTCTCGGACAGGACATTACGGTTTCCAACCGTAGTTATCATGTTGGTGATTACGTCTACGTGGAGCCGCTACGTCCCAACGCCATTCAGTGTCATATTGGCCGCATTATCCGAATAACGCAGAGTTCCGTTCCTCAAACGAAAGTAGAATCACCAAAAGAGCCCACCCCTCATAATGAAGATGCGGACGGTGCACCGGTCAATCAGGAGACAGGGGCATCGGCAGACCCTCCTACTGAACTCAAAACGAGCGTGCATGTTGCGTGGTACTGGCGTCCATCGGAGGCCCATCCATCACGTCGAAGGCGACTGCTTCCGGCTGAGGTTTTCCGGACGTCCCTGACGGAAGCTGTTTCTACAGACAAGCTTATAGGACATTGTCTGGTCTTATCGATATCGCAGTTCATCCGGTTCCGTCCTAAGGTAAATGGAATGAGTTGCAGAGTCACAGACACTATGCCATATGTGTCATCCAGTTACGTTCTGTTTGCCTTTCACTGAGTTCCATTGTGATTATCTTCCCTCGAAAATCGCTACAAGTAACAGATCAAACAGTGTTACGGCCTTCCTGTTCAGTTCAGTTTATTACTTCGATTTATCAAAATGTGACGCTTGTCGTAGATGAAGTGTTCCGATTGTCACTTGTTGAGCGTCTGTTAATTGAGAGTCCTATTTTAAACAATCCAAGACGGCACGAGGACTTTAAAGTAACTCTGCTTCATAATGTAAAGCCACTGTCTCAGCACGTGATACCCAACCAATCAGCGGTTGCTTGGGTGAATGCTTGGCTCTGGCTCTGGTATGTTTCTTAATCGGACACAGTTTTTGTGCCCACCCATTTGATACATTCTCTTCGTAAACTTGATATTCCCGTCTACTCTATTCTAGCTCGGCAACCTTATGAGTAGTAATTTACGTCTATATTACGACATCTCTGTATTGCGACATCTCGAATATCGTGCCAACTGAAACATGAGGCGGCCTAGGGCAGCACATTCAGTTGTTTAAAAACATCCTAAACGAAAGATTCAGCTGTGTTCCAGGTGAGTCAAAGCCAAAGTGATATGCAAATGACTATATTCGCCTAAATCTGTCCAATATGGGTTCAAGTAGGACACAAGGTTGGTGGAAACTCGCACCTTTCAGAAGGGCGAAACTGTCCATGGGGTGTCGAAGAGTATTCATCTACCTTATGATTGATGTGGTACGTCTATAAAAGTAACCTTTTGTTGTATTTTGTGGCACCGGTAATGATTTTATTGGACTTTCGGCAAATCACTGTACAACCTAACCTAAGCATGAGTCAATCCAACGTAGACCCCCCTGTTACTTCGTTCGATCAAGAGAATTCTCCTATGCACGACGACGCATAAACCGGTCCTATTTCAAGCACTTGATCAGATTGATTGATCCCTTGCGAGCTCCGATCTAGGCTCTCCTGTGCATTGTGAAAAGAGGCGGTATTATGATGTTATGTTGCTTGGCTGTTACCAACTTTTGAGCTTTGGGTGTGCTTCTCATACTGGATTTATTTGGAATTCAACTTTTTCACTATTCGCATATTCACCACCTGCACACCAGTTTCAAATGACACATGGGAACTTCCAATTTTCATCGTGTATGAAAGTAAATCTCTTTGACTGCAGCGCGGAATTTCTAGATCGGGACACGTGGTACATGCCGTTGCGCTATGTATCGTTATTATTTTTCTGCCTCGGATATCTTCACAACTATCCTCAGAGTAATATACATAGTTAACTAGGCTGAATTGAAAAATCGAACGTACTTTCATGTGTTGGATCTTGGGAATACCCTCCCAAGTGTTTACACACCACTGCGACCGCTTCCTAACAACTCTGCCTTCTGGACGTCTGATTCAAGCCACTGCTAAACAGCAAAAATCAAACCGAGGCTCAAGCGTGCATCATAAATTGAACTTGTGTTTTCGTGAGTAACTGTGTGGTGGGATAGTATTCGAATGCATGAACCGTGCGTGTTCGCGGAAGATTGGCCGCGAGTTAGGATGCAGGTGACTTCAACTGTGGACTCGTCAATTGTTTGGATAGCTGCCTGGTATGCGGAATAGCGGTGGTCTTTGTCTTATGGAGATCAGTAGTAATTTCGCTAAATCTGGTTAATTTTCTATGTGCAACTAACTGGATTCCCATTTTTCTTATCGGACGAACAAAGTCCTCTGTATGGGCCTTGCTTTACTCAGTTGACCACATCAGGTTTTAACTCGTACCAGTGTCACGAAGCCAATCACCCGCCTTTATGATCTTGGTAGGAATAAACTGAGAGCATAACTAATTGACAATCTGTCTACTCAACAGGATTCGCTCCTTACAGGAACAATTGTTTCCAGGTCGTCCAATCGCAGGAATTTGTATACACTCTTGCGTTCATTTCGTCTACAAGTCTAACGGAAAAAGGTGTAAGAATATAATTGAAATGGAGTTTCGCGTGACTTCAAATCAAGTTTGTGAAGACTTGGAATCCTGCTTATGAAAACGTTAAGTTCTAAGTCTGGTTTAGGATATGGGAAATCCTGAACTGGAGACAGTATTTTAGAAAGGTTATTCTGCTGGTGCATTTCATAACCCCATAACCAACTTGCACTTGATGTTCACTTCTATGTAAGTCACTGCTAACTGTGTAAGGACGTAAACAAATGAACTGTGAATGCAAAAGAAGCACTGCATGCTAAACGGCTGTGCTGCATTCCTTCGAGAGCTTTTCCTTGTGGTGAAAGTGATTCATCCATTACGTGACATGCGTTTATTTGCCTTTTGAACGCGGGACATATGGCCAGTTCAGTTCACCTTACTATGCCGATATTTTTTCTCCTACTGCCATTTAGTTTTCAGTCACTTCCGCTTCATCTCTTCTTCTGTCACTCGAACGCCCTTATACTGCTCTTATCGCACTTCTCGTTTTTCGTTGTTCCCACCAGAATATAGACGAACAAGATGTATTTGTCTGCGAGTCACAGTTTTCGTCGAAGTTACAAACGTTTGTCAAAATTCGGGTAAGTTCTGCAAATTACTTTTCTTGCCTTGTGTTTCCGATGTTTCTCCGAAACGGGCAAAAAGACAGCGTTACTTTAAACGTCAGACTCACTCTACGTGATGAAATATCGCAGTAGGGAGAAATTAACAGATCTTATTTTATTATGGCTGCTCGCCCGACATTTCATTTTTCATAAGTCCTGACGTTCTTTTTAGTGTACCGAATCTGCTCATCACGTTGTTCGTTTACGTCCACCGTTGTATTCGTTGTTAAAGATCTCGAGCTTTTAGTTTTCTGGATCCTTTCGTATCCCAACCATTCAATGAGACTTTAGAGAAGTGCTCGTCTTCTTCATCATTGGAACCACTGTGCGTAAAGTGATGTATAACTTTCATTTGGTGATCTATCCCTCTATACCTTGACTTGACGTTATCTGGAACTGAAGGTTTTTTCACCGGAACGTAATTTGAGCATCAGTGACGAGTGAAGGATGGTTCTTACCGAGCAATCTCTTCAAATGCAGTAGTGCCATGTAAGTAAGGATTAGGCATACGGACAAATTTACAGTACTCAGAATTGTAAGCGGACCTGTCCGACTGCGCTGAGGACGACGCTTTACTCACTCTTCACTCTGTGAAGGCTTTAGTTTGGTTCATGACGCGTTTTCTTCAAGGAATCAAAATTCGGTTTGTGACTTCTTTTACGTGCTTTGGCAATTTGAACAACAAGAGGAGTATCAGTCTGGTCTTCAGTGGCAAGTTACTACGTGACATGACTGTCGGTATACATCACTTTGGATTTTCAAAATCGTTAAATGCTAACCCCCATCTTGGACACTACTGTGCTGGATGTGACAATAGTTTATCGTTGAAGGGCAGAATTCGTTGCCCGGAAATTCTTCGTCGTTTCACAACCGCAAAGTCTGGACACTGCTGCAAACAGAAAATGCTATCGCTTGTGTTTGATTGTCGTCCCATTCAAAATATTGTCTGTGTCGCCGAAACTGTGAAGTTCAGCGAATAGCAGTAATTTGCTGTCCGATAGTGGAGCGATCCGAGCCCCATACATACAGTTGTCAAACTGAAATGAACTCAACTGGGTTGTAGGTGGAAACAAACGTACGGTTCGTCGTAAAACACTAGTGGTGTTTCGTTTGCCAAAACATGCACATTTCTTAGCGAATATACACTCATCTGCAAACTAATTTGGTTCTTTCGAGAGACTCACCTGGAACCCGGCTGAATCCCTCCTTTATGATGTTCTCAGGCAACTGAACATCAGGTTGACGGAAACCCGGGGACTGCGCCTACCTGATGAGCCCCAAGAAGGGCGAAACCGGTCGTGGGCTGTCGATGGATTTTCAGCAACCTTATGAGTAGTACATTACAAATATACATGCACATTTCTTGTTTTTTTATTGGTGTTCTAGAAGTGCAGTGCTGTACTGCTGCTTGAGCGCTTTGTTCCTGAATGCACTATGTTCGTGGGCTGTGATTTTCAGCAACCTTATGAGTAGTACATTACAAATATACATGCACATTTCTTGTTTTTTTATTGGTGTTCTAGAAGTGCAGTGCTGTACTGCTGCTTGAGCGCTTTGTTCCTGAATGCACTATGTTCGACTGTTGTCGGTGTCAATATTCACAAGAATCGGACTGTTCCAGCTGAAGGTACTGGTGACTGCATGGCGGTTATGTAAGTTCAAGCAGTCTAAACTGTCGGCCCTCCTTGAACCGCTACTTGATGGTCCATTGTAAGCGGTTGCACATATCCATGAACGGATGGATAAGCGACTGAACTTCCGATTTTCTCCTTGTGTCCCTTGTTTCCAGTTGAATTGAACTTCGAAGGTCTTGTGCTTATGCACACTTTCGATGTATATACTGTTTAGTAGTATATTGTTCGTCTATGGAATGCAAGCTTATATAGAACGTGCAAGGCAGTAAACCCCTACATGCGGGTTACACTAGATTCTTGGCTAACCAGCAGGCAATGTGGGTGATTTTGTTCAAGCAACACAATAGTTTCATGCTAAGAATAATCTTCTATAAATCAATCTGCAGTATGTTCCAAAACTTAGTGGCGATCAGATCCAGTGCGGCTATACTTTGAACTGTACTGAATTCGTCTGGCCAGAGCTGTACGACGGGTTAGCACTGTCTCTATTTCGTCTTCATACTTTTCTTCCTCAACCGTATAATTTTTGTGACTCTCGCCACAGAATTGGTCTACTCCCACTCCCGTCGGAATTGAGCTTGAACAACGTCCCGTTCCGTTCATTCCGACACGTCTGCCTCCAAATGAGCCTCTCGAGAATGCATTGGAGCAAGTAGACACAACGCTTTTCAAGGATATGGTCTATCCGCTACCGCGAACTTACGAGGTAATTACTGCTTTTTTACCAATTTCGCAGCCGATGAGCCATCGCACCAGATTATTTTCCTCACTTCTATCAAGCTTGTTATTTATCATGAAACTTAACTGTAAAGCACCTATTATTTTTGGCTCCGCAGTTCGTCGCTTTTGTCATCCAATTTACTCTGAACTAACCGTTTGTATGTTTCATTCTCGTTTTTTGGAATTGGTGTTGTCATGGTGAGCGTCCTAAATTATTGCATATTTCCTCATCCGGAACGAGTTTCACATATTACTATGCAGTGGTGCTGTATTCTGCCTGTGTTATCGGTGAATGCTCGTTAATTTGCCCCTAACACCTCTTCCTTGCATAAGGCCCACCCTTGGGGATATTGTGTTCGTGTTGGTAGGCTTTTCTGTTTCACCACAGCCCGATAAATGCGATTCATGTCGACACTCACTTTAGCCGGTTAAGCGGGAACTTTTAGAACTCAGGCGGAATAGTAGGAAAGCAGTCGACCTTCCGGTCAACGGCGCCGTAATCATAGCCATTCTCTCTCCCGAACACTCGTTTCGTTGGGTTTCGATGAGCTATTTCCCTTTGATACCGTTCGTGACTCGCGTTTTCTTGGCTCTCATCCCGTTTGAGGTGGCTCTAGGTGACTCGCCTCTTCTGCCTGTCTGAACAAAGTTCAGTTTGTTCACCATTAGGATAGAAATCTAGTTTCTATGGCTAGTTTTCGGGTGACCACATCTCTATTTACGATCACCGTACACATGGTACGGCGACTCGTTTGCAAGCTTAAGTCCGGGTGGATAAGTTTTGCATCAATTAGATGTCGATGTGTGAACTATTTCATTTGTCCTCCGGTTTATAAACCTAACTGCAGTGCCATGTAGCGGTTGATCATGTAAACGCCTTTTGTGCTAGAACAATGAAGCCCACCGTAATTTTCAGTAGTTTCTCCAAAGGTGGTCTTTGCAGCGAGGTTTTTCATTTATTTCGATGAAGAAAATTTGTGGTTACCTAAAAATGGTCTTTATGAAGGTACCGTCCGTAGAGAAACTGAATTATGTTACGTCACTGTCTCACAGTAGATCACAGAACGTCAAATTGCGCATTCACACCAGTTCAACTTGCAACTACATCAATAGTTCGAAGTGTGAGCTGAATCTGTGGTGCCGGTCCATCCGATGAAGAACTCTCATTTCGCACTAACTTTCTGGTGCTCACAAACCATCTCAGATCTATGTTGCAAACTATGGCGACCTTTGTGTGTCTGCGTTCGATTTCAAGTCACAGTTCACTGCTCCTTCGTGTACTCTATGGTAATCCTAGCACATTTCCAGTAAATAATTTTTACGAACTCGCAGCAGTTTGACTGCATAGGATTACATACTTCCTTGATCCGAATTAACTGATCACCCAACGTCATTCGGAGGGTTTTCTATTTCTTTTTTAGTCAATCATACTTCAAGATCTGTCAGAAACGGAAGGCAATATTATTTACGAACAATATGTTCATCAGAATGGCTTCTTAGTCAAACTTGGTACGTGCTGGTTAATTTTTTCGCAGTCGTTCTTGACGGAAATTCCTATTAGCCCTATTCTGGTTCAAACCAACCCGATGACTTTTTGTTTCCTGTTTTTTATTCTGTTTGACCGAAGGGCAAGATGGCTTAGTGATTAGAGCGCAAATTTACTGGCTGGGTGGTCCGTGGTTCGAACCCGACCTCTACGCGTCGACATCCCCTATCTAGGCTTGGGCAACCTGGCAGTATCTTAGTCCTCGCGCCTCCTTTGGGTGGCACGGAAGCTAAGCATCGAAAGGGTGGTTGCAGCCGAATGATAATTATTTTCCGTTTATTATTCTGTTTGTCTGAGCTTTTGGTAGTTGGTCAAGTGGCTCTGCTTGCTGAGCCTGCACGTTATCTTGCCTACGTTTCGTCACCGTTCGATGAAACTTTATCAGTGCGTTGTTGGAAGCACTGATGATGTTAACAGAGACACTCGCTTCCCTTACCTTCAAGGTTGGACAATTGACAATAAAAGTTGTGTATTCTGCCAATGGTCCATATACACGCAAGTTGAATGAAGAACGTTCATTTATGAACCCCGCACGGTGGTATAATGTTGTTGGCTACCACTTCGTTTGGTGCTGCTGCTCACGCTTGTTTCAGAGAACGTGGTGCCTTGCTTCCACCGGTTCCATCGTGCCCATGCGAATTAAGCTTTCGCATATCAACTACGGATCAAAACGTAAAAACAAGGCGAATTATCGATCCACAGTTAAATGTGTCATGCCTTTTCGATCAGTATTCCTGAAATTGACAAGCGACCAACCATCGTTGGTTCCCCTTATATGATCTCTTTCAGGGTGACTAAACTCATTTTTTCTGCCCTATGTTTATTCTCCTTTCGGATTGCTTTTTCGGAAGACATAAAGTCCTAATATTATTTCAGGGTGTTTCGTTCTGTTGGTCGTACTCTGAGTGCTTCGTTTCGAGTTCACCACATTGAGACCACGAGGGACCTTTTGCGTTTTACTTTTACTGTCTTGGGGAGTACGAAGTGGGATGGGAACCAACATAATGCCTGATCTCTCGATGACTACATTGTTAGTGAATATGTAGCTGCTGGATCTTGTGGTTTGATGACTAACTTATTTGTTCTCGATTTTAGGTGACTTCTTGTACGTACCTGCGGCTGTTGACTCCACTGAACGACATATTGTTCGAGTGGATAAGCTGTGGAAGTCTGTTACGTAAGTTTTTTGGGACCACTTTGATATCACTTGCAACTATTCTCGGTCACTATTCGACCTCGATCAACCAATAACATGTCCAGCTCGTCCTCTCGTTCCAGTGGTTGAGATGACAGTGCCCGCAGCTTAATATTTCCTCGTTGTGTAGTCTCCCTGTTAATCTTTCAGATGCTGACGGATCAGGATACGGTCATGGTCAACCTGACTCCATTTAAGTATACACTCCTTTACTATCGAACGAATCCATATGCATTTTAGTGAAGAAAAGTAAAGGCAAACTTTCTTACCACCCAACAGGTCATACCTATGTTTCCGAGATTCTAAGTAAATGTCGTTCTAAGTTTCGAATTTGGTCTATCTACTCACATCACAGCAGTCATTCTAACTGATAACTTTTCTTCTCTAAACTGCTGCCATCATCTTAACTCGTTTTTATTTTCACGTTTAACTCACCGGTTACTTGTGTTCTTGCCTAAAGCCCTGTTTTATACTTTTGCTTGTCCTCCGCATTTTGCTTCTGTCTCTGACAAGTCAGTGATAACCTGTTCCATGTTTCACAGGCTATTCACCTCCCAACCTTTTCTGGTTTGCATACATTGTAGGCAGAATATGATATTCTTTTCCGGACCCTGGTTTATTGCTCCGACGGCGGTTGAGCATTTACCAACACGTGTGTTCTACCCTAAAGAAGTGTTCCTTACTAGTGCCGAGCACGCAACGCACGCGCTTGCTTCAGCCACTGGAAAGTGTTTTGTAATGCGTCCCGTCGACTATTGCCAAGGTGAGATTCGAATTTATGCTTGTTCGTCTCATTCTCTGACACCTTAATATGGTTACTTTGAATGCTGATGCGTTCTGTCACGTGGTTAGCAATCACTGAATATCACCCAGCCAACGTTTGAGGTAAAATGAGAATAGTCCCATCAGCTTGTGAGGATTTTTCCCATTCTTGAAGAACACAGTTGGCTCTTCTTGGTAGCGTACGCTTTGGAGTGAGTTTCACTCGTGCATTAAGGTTCACCTCCACCTTTACTTGCATTATGTGATATTCTGTCCAAATGGGTCATCCGCAAATCGCCTCCACACTACCTGTTGTAGAAATCATGTGGCACTCCAGCTGTTTCCCTAAAGTTTAAGGTTTTTCGTCGGCTTTCATCCATCGCTTCATGACTCTTCCTCTTGCCTGAATACTTAGCTATTTCTGGGTGTGTTTCGCCTAAATTTATCTCCCCACTTCTGTTCTGCCTTAGCGCGCCCCACCGAATTCAACGATCACGACGTGTACTTGTGCGACTCAAAGTACTTCGAAGACGAAAGAGTTATACGGAAATTGAAAAAAGGCCTCAAGGTAAGCTGTCACTGATAGTTGTTTAAGACAAACTGTGTGCTTAGATTAGAGTCGATCAGTTGTTCTTTGGACTGTTTTTTCTCGTAGTATGTAACTTATCACCGTCACTGCCTGGCAGTTTGCCAAACCCTTCTGCGCGACCACAGTTCTTTATTGGCATGCAAAGGCATGTTGGAGAAGATTATATTTATATCACCCACCAAAGCTTTGTAAACCGCAGCCAACAATTGATATGTGCACGCATGCGCGTTGCGCATTCGTATCTACATGTGAACCGATTCAGAGTCGCATCCCCCCCCCCCCCC